GAAGAAAAAGTCAAACGTTGCTTGAGTAACATGTGGCAGTAAAAGCTGTGGAGAGCCATGATCGCCAACGTCCTGATGGGATATCTTGCATAAAAGAATATATATAATGTTTGTATGTGATAACTGAAGGCATGAAATGGGTTTTCTCAAAGAAATGCGGTTATTTTGAGAGTTGCGTGAAATGCTCGGAGAGACACGGGAAACGCCGGTTACCTTCACAAATGGACATCAAACACAAACGCCATGTTTCTGTCAGGTTTATTTTATATTAGCGGTGGAGGTTGTGGGGAAGATTGTTTTGGTAACTGAGTTATTTGTATCTCCAACTTCCAACCGGTGTTACTGTTAATGAAGGATGTTCAAGTGTAGGTAAAATTTATGATTTTATGCTGATTTTCAAGGTAAGCAAGTCTCCTCCACACATATATATTCATTCTTTGTTTTCAATTTCATTCATTAAAGCCCCGTGCCGAATCCTGGCGTGTGCAAGAAAGAGAAGATATATATATATATATATATATATATATATATATATATATATATATAATTAGATAAATATAGATAGACAGAGAGAATGACTACCGATTCCTTCATTTTCATTTACAGTGGATTTGATTTATGTAAACATTTTCTGACCAACATTCATTCATTCATTCTTATTGTTCGTTCGAATTTCTCATTCATTCCATTTTCCTTCAAAAACTCTTTCTTACCTTATTTTTTTTAATTTCTCTATCCTTTTTTCCTCATTTCTTTCTACTCTCGTTTTACTTCTTCCTCTTCTTCTAAATCCATTTTTCCCGTCTGCCATTTTATCACTTGGCGGGAAGTCCCTTTTTTCCGGCAAAGGTAGATTCGTAATCTTTCACAGTTGTTGTTTACATATTTTAGCAGTCTGTCAGTATTTCTGTCTTTTTCGTTACAAGTGGTCATCAACACACGCGCGCACAATATGCGAACGTTTACTCATGGGAAAGGAAAGAAAAGACATGAATGACTTCACTCGCTACCAACCTGCACGAAGTCACCGCCCCAGTTAAACGTTTCAGCCAGAGAGAAAGTTAATATTTCAGCCACTTTATAAACGTATTCTAACTTTGGAAAAATGGTTTAATTTCAAGCTGCCACAACCGTGGACGCTATTTAATCCATTCTGTTGTTGCCTACCGAATTAATTCATACTCTTTCTTGTGACACATTCTGTCTACCAAGACAGAGAGAGAGTCAGGAAAAAAATAGGATAACCAAGCAAGAGAGAAAAGGAGAGAGAACAACAAGAGAATGGGAGACAGAGAGAGAAAAGGAGAGAGAACAACAAGAGAATGGGAGACAGAGAGAGAAAAGGAGAGAGAACAACAAGAGAATGGGAGACAGAGAGAGAAAAGGAGAGAGAACAACAAGAGAATGGGAGAGAGAGAGAGAAAAGGGAGAGAGAACAAGAGAGAAAAGGGGAGACAGAGAGAGAAAAGAGAGAGAGAACAACAAGAGAATGGGAGACAGAGAGAGAAAAGGAGAGAGAACAACAAGAGAATGGGAGACAGAGAGAGAAAAGGAGAGAGTGAGTGGGAGACAGAGAGAGACAACAAGAGAATGGGAGACAGAGAGAGAAGAGTGAGTGGGAGACAGAGAGAGAAGAGTGAGTGGGAGACAGAGAGAGAAAAGTGAGTGGGAGACAGAGAGAGAAAAGGAGTGGGAGACAGAGAGAGAAAAGAGAGAGAGAGGGAGACAGAGAGAGAAAAGGGAGAGAGGTGGGGAGACAGAGAGAACAAAGGAGAGTGAGTGGGAGACAGAGAGAACAACAAGAGAGTGAGTGGGAGACAGAGAGAACAACAAGAGAGTGAGTGGGAGACAGAGAGAACAACAAGAGAGTGAGTGGGAGACAGAGAGAACAACAAGAGAGTGAGTGGGAGACAGAGAGAGAGAACAGTCAGCGGGAGGGAGAAACAACTACAGAATGGCAGAGAGAGAAACAACAAGAAAGTGGCAAATGTGAGACAGGCGAAGAGACACAAGAGAGAGAGAGAGAGAGAGAGACGGAGAGACAAAGGCAAGTAGTGAGAAGAAGGAGACAGAAAGAGACAAGTGAGAGAGAGTGACACAGATAGAGACAAGTAAATAGAGGGAAACAAAGATAAGTAGAGTGAGGGAGACAGAGAGAGACTAGTAGAGAAAGGATGTCAGAGAGAGAGAGAGAGAGAGACTAGCGGGAGAAAGGATGTCAGAGAGAGAGAGAGAGACTAGTAGAGAAAGGATGTCAGAGAGAGAGAGAGAGACTAGTAGAGAAAGGATGTCAGAGAGAGAGAGAGAGACTAGTAGAGAAAGGATGTCAGAGAGAGAGAGACTAGTAGAACAAGGGTGTCAGAGAGAGAGAGACTAGTAGAACAAGGGTGTCAGAGAGAGAGAGACTAGTAGAACAAGGGTGTCAGA